GTTTACCATAATTCAGTCCATCCTCGTCGTGGCCAGAGGCCCCCAATGCTGTTTGGCCTTTGCCTTCTTCTCAGCTCTTCCCAGCTGTAAGATTACTAACAGATTTTATTACGACAATGTTCTTTATTCACGGCTTTTTCTAACTGAACGACCCTTTTTTTTCAATTCACCCGTGACAACTTACCCGCAAAATTTTGTCACGACAATTTACTCGTTACACATGACCCACGAATATTGGCCACTTCTTTTCCTGTAAAACTTGAATTTAAAAATAAAAACAAAAGAAATAATGGGACCATTACTTTCTCTTGATGAAAGCAATTACCCTGTTGTTACGCTATTTGTTGACCTTTGTTACCCTGATAGTAGCAGTATGCAGGACGGGTGTCATATATGAACTTTAATAGAGTATAGAATTCTATAGTCATACAGAGTCTCTGTGGCTAAGTAGTAGAGCATCGGAACACGGAATCCGTAGGTCTGAGGTTCGATTTCCCACGAGGACTCTGAATTTTTCTTCGTCCCACACCCGAGACAAGATGAGAAAACATCTTTCTTTATTCCTTTACCGAGCCCAAAATGTTACCATCTTTCTTTTTCTATTAACAAATGATGACGCTTACGACATTGCAGATCTTAGCAGTTTGCATGACGCGTATCATGCATGAACTTCGGAGTGGGCCTTGCCCACCACAGAGTCTCCTTGGCTCAGTTGTAGAGCGTCAGAGCGCGGAGTCCGAAGATTTGAGGTCCGATTCTCATGGGGAATCAGAATTTTTTATTTGTCTCACGCTCGTGACGAGACGAAAAAAATTTCTCTCTTTATTTCTTTAGTGGGCTCGAAATCTAACCATCTTTCTTATTCTATTTGTTACCCTGGGGGTATTTTCCAAATAAGTCAAAAGGTTTATGCACAAGGTGTTCTATGGAGAAGAAACCCAACTTCCTTTTATTAGAGGGGGACGTTTCTAAAGAAATTTTGGTGCTGCGTGGATGGGAGAGTATCACAGGGTAATTTAGTTTTAGCAACTGAGTTAATAACGTAGATTGGAATTCGTAAAGAGTTTTAAAGCTGACGTTTAGAGCGTTCGCCCTTCGTCAGAGCGAGTAACTACGGACTAACGCTCGATTCGTCAGCTTTAGACTCTTTCCGGTGGCTAATTTAGGTTATCAACTTAGTTGAGAATACTTAATTGTACCTTGTAGCCTCCCTTACTTTCTGCTGAGCATAATTTGGTTCTGGATATGAAAAAACATGTAAAACCTACGAGTACGACGGGAATGACAAAGTATTCTAGGAAATCAGAGTAGGTTTTGTTTTGCAGCGTGTGTTGAGGGCAGCAAATTGAACTTTAAAATTCAAAAGGGCGAATGCCCGCAGGACTAATACCAGTTTGAGATATCTTACATAAGAAAATAGAGGCAGAATTTGAATTTGAACTCGCCAGTTTCATTCTCAAATTTTCCATGAACCCAGAGGCCAACCATTGTAGGAAAGGGGTGCAAATCTCTATATACTTAGGGTGCATATCGTAAAGCCGCACAGATCATTCTTATGAATTCTCGATTCCAAGCAAGGCCTTTACCAGGACAAGCATTCTTTTCCTTCGTTCTTGAATCGAAGAGAGGAACGTCACTAAAGTTAGAGAATTTTTCACTAATTGTCCATGGTGCTTTACGTTAAGATCATAAAAAAGCTAGAAAAAAGGGGGAAAGAAAAAAAATATACATTTATATATGGGAATAAACAAATTGAAAAACTTCTGAGTAATTAAACATATTTATCATCTAATAAAGCTAAAAGAAGTTATAAGTTTGTTTAAAAAAGATATGTTTTAAAATGTCTTTTAAAAATGTCAATTGAAGAACTTGATCTTAGTTCGAGTGGGATCGAGTTCCATAGTCCTGGTCCCGCCACAGGAAACGTTCTCTCTCCACAAGTCTTTAGTCTCGCTTTCGGGGTCGCCAGAAGGTGTTGAAAAGAGGACCTTAGTGTCCGTTCAGAGGTGCAATAATTAAGTAAGTCACTGATGCAGCAAGGCACTGCTCCATTGATAGCTTTGTAGACCAGTGGAAGAATTTTATAGACCATACAGTGCGGTTTTTGTCAGTTATCAACGTGGCCATTTGGTTGAGAATGAGACGGTTCTAAAGGCATCCCCATTTGGATTGATAGCTTGGGTTCGATGAATGACAGGTCACGTAACCGGATTTGTACGTTAATTTGAATGTAATGATGTTACCCGCCTTGGAAGTTCTAGAGAAACCATACGAATCATCTCGTGCCCCAAAACAAACTGTAGATGGCATCATCTGTATCCATCTTACTGTTGGGAAAAGAACCAGCGCATATATGATGACTTGATTTTGAACAAAAGAATGGAGTTGGGCTGAATAAGACTTACAGTTGGATTCATCGAAAGATAACTTAAAGGGTTGGGTAGAGTTTTTGATAAAAGTATTTCACCAAATGAAACATTTATTTTTACCAGCCGTTTCCTTTCTCGCAATTGGTGCCCTTGTATTCAGGTGGACAAAGGCATCTGTAACCTTTGTCTGTAAATCCTGTCTGACAAGTGCCATTATGTGTGAAAACGCGGTTTAAAAGCAGATATATACCAATTGAAGTAGTAAGTGGTAGTGATACTTTGAAATGAAAATTGAAATGTCACATGAGATTAAATCAACCAAAGAACCAGCCACGCAACTCGTCAACGATACAAACCAATTGGTTGACGCTCGGTTAACTCAACCCAAGGTTGAGCTAACTTTACATACTAATCTACCAAATGACAAGTAATGTTATGCGCATGGCCATGATAGGACACCAACCAACCATCAATAAGATAAGAATGTACTTACCATTGTTGCTTTATATCTGTAGTTTGTCCAAGACTTGAGATCCTGATGATGTTCATTGTGTGTGGAATTTTTCAGTTCACATTTTGTGATTACTGTAGATCCGCTGGTCACTTATTAGTTATAGCTGACACAGTTGGGTTCCATGTAGCATAAAGCTGAGCAGAGGTCTTGTGCGGGGGATTCTGCGGTTCGTATCAAGTGGTTTATGAGCCGTTTGCCAAGGAAAGCAAGAGAAGATGTAAATTCCATCTTGCGACAGAAATCTTTGGGAAATTAAATCATATTTGACCAGCACCATTTATGGTTTACATCTAGACAGGTAAAGAACCAGTTGCGTTTTTGAGGGACTAAGCAAAGCTAATGGAGTGATGAAACTTACGAGTTGTATGAGTAACAAAACATAACATTATCGCATCTCTCTCCTCCACGACCAGTCATAACCATTACAATGTCCTCAAATGTTTATGGTACTTTAGCTGCTTTATTTTAGCGCTAATTAATCTGTAGAGTTGTAATCAAACAGTGCAATCGGACAGTCAACTGTAATTGGACACCTGTAATCGGACAGTTAAAGCAGCTAATCACATTAAGTCCGCTCCTCCAAATCCCCCCAAACACAGAGTTGATTATAATAACCGTAGCAACAACCATTTACTCTACTAAACAGTGTCTCTAACAAAGATATTTTCTCAAGTAAATGTACATGTATTTGTGTTTTTGCTAATTCTGTGGGATTTCTTGAAAAGATCAGTTTCCCATCAAATAATTGACTAAAGGGAAAATTGATCAACGAACCTGTTTCTGTCAGAAATTTGTCTTGATAAACTCAAGAGGAGAGCTTATTTAAAAAAAATGAGATTATTGCCCAATTAAACCTAGATAATAATAATACATTTAAAAGGTGTCGGAAGGCCGTTGATGTCTCACTAAAGGAGAGAGATATCTCAACAAATCAACCTCTCACTTCCTAAAGTTCGGAAACCCCTCCGGAGATTATTGATTATTCACCCGATGGAATGATGAACTTTGCGCTTCAACAACACTAGCGAAAGTAGCTTTAACAACACCAAAAAGATACAGTGGAATCTGTTTTGTTTACTGACATCTGGTAAGTGATAATTCATTGTTTCATGTAACCTTACACTGATTACATGTAGATAATTTGAATAGCAGGCGATAAGAGGATTTGGCCCTTGGGAAAGTCAATGCAGATTTTCTAAAGTGCAACAAAGACACGTAAACCTCGGAGTACTTAGACGTGCTATTTGTCTTAGGCTCACTGTCAGTGTTAAATAAAGCAACCAGAGTAACAGATCACACCATCTCTGTTACCGGTCACATACACACAAATAACCTGAAAAGGTTATTAAATTAGGTTTTAACTGGTCTTCATTTCGGAGCTCTTTTTGTTGGAATGGCTTTGAAAGAACTACTAGCGTAGACATCATTCAGATTTTACCCATTTCACCCAACACGCTTTCCTATAAGATTCACCTGCTAAGGTATGATTTAATCAAAATAAGGAATACTAAACTCCTACAATTTAAACTACTTTATTAAACAACGTATAATGATTCTTTCTCAGGAGCTACTCGTATAGGCAATACAATAATTGTCCTTTAAAAACTTACTTAAGCCCACTACAGACTAAAACTTAGCTCTCTACTGAGAGAGAATCTTCACAAAATACACAATCTTTTAAGTATATCACAGTACTGAGTACTGAGCTATCTTTTGTAGAGCTTCCTAGATATTCGGTCTTTTCTGACTAAAGAAATTAGTACTCCTAGCTGACCGAGTCCTTATATACCGTCATAACGTACTTCAAAACATTCCAGAATTCGAAGCTTACAACACAACTGTTGTGGTAAAAGTAGATCGTAACCACATAACCCATTATAATGTTTTAGTTTTCCGTGATATGTCACCAGAAAGCTTGAGTATCGATGTCATAGTGACTAAAAATTCTAGAAATCATTTATTTCTCTATCCAAAACACACCGATCACGATTTCAAAATCCTTATAAATAATGATGCTGATGAAAGCACGACTGAACATAGTAAACAACTTGCTTATAATCACGGACCGCCGTGACCCATCATGGAAGGCTTTCAGACAGAATAACAACTTCATGTACAGAAGGCGTGGGTATCAAAAGCTGCTTTAGTTTCTAACGACCTGAGCAAACATCAAGAGTTCAAAACGTTTAGTAATAAGCAAAATACAATGCTCAAAGTTTTGCTTAAAACTTACTGAAGATGTTTGATTGGAATAGATAGAGATGATGATAAGATTATTTGGAAGCTCATTTATGCCCATAGTTGTTGACACTAGCTGAGGGTGGGGGGAGTCTCTTCTAATGCTCGGATAAACAACAACTGTTCAGTCGACTCTGATGATGATTTCCGCTGAGGTTATAGAAACGTCAATCAGTAACACTGACAACCTTCAGTCACAACTTCTCAGGAGTACTCTTACTTGGAAGATCAAACTACGCGGTCCAAAGGTACTCTTCTGTTCAAACTATTCACTGTTTAACACTAATCATAAAAAGTGGATCATGTGAAATTCTTAAAGTCCCTGTTATACATTAATGTGCATGTGCCAATAATTAAATCGATTTGTGAATCCTTTCGTTGAGCAGAATGACTTGCTTATAGCATTCAGTCTGTGCCACAGTAGCGCAGATCACAAGCAGGGACCTTTTGTAGTTTGTATATAAAGTAGGATCCGCAGTCTTTCACATGTATTTTACTTGATTTCTTGCAACAATCTCCACCTCTGGTAAAGCAGACCTTGGAGGAAACCTCACCATCTGCCAATGTGGGGTGACCACCTTTTAGCCAGCCTGAGAAGACCGCACCACATCTATTATCCGGTACGCACTGGGTTGGCATTTTTGTTCCTGCATCTCCCACGAAACGATACCATTTCCCGAATATTATGGATGAGGAATCGTCGTCACATTTTTCTCCACCGTAGGGTGTGATGTAAGTGCTCTTTCTGTCAGCATCGCTCAGGTTTCTGTAATTATAGCACGGATCGGCTAAAAAGTTGAATTTCGGTTAATGCGATGTTTTATATATTTCGTTATAAGAAAGCTTAAGGAAAAAAGCTATTATATAAACTGCGGTGGTTTAAAACGATTTCCCGCCCTGAGAAGAGCCGGGAAATCCTTGTTAAACACGCGTATAATATTACGATAATTTTTTACATGTGTTTGATATCACCAATCAGCTGTGTCAGGTTAATAAATGAATGGCAAAGCGATGACCGTTCTCAATCCAGGGTCGCATGTCGAGATTTTCTCGAATTATGGCTGCTAAAAAAAAAACCAGAAAAATTCGTATTTCTAGCAGACAATGTCACTCAAAATTGCCTAGAAAGGGAAGTGAAACAAAATACGAAAAGAAAAACCTGAAGTTAGTTCTTTGACCTGGGTAATGGTATTTCTCGTGGCTGAGAACGAAAATCGACAACTGGAAGATTTGCCACAGGCCGATTTCGGCCGTGTACATGAAAATATTTCTTTTGTCGGTAAGGAAAAAGTCAATAACTGAGAATTTTGTGAAAAGAAAGCTACGCCCATTGTCTGTTTCTGTAATGGTTCAACGCATTTTTTTCATCTTGAGTCTTATCGCCAATGCGCTTTACGACTTCTTTTTGGCGGATTGTGAAACCTATAATTTCATTTTTTAAAAAGTCGACTTTTCTTCCCCGTAAAGGCCTATTGTGATTACATGATAAACAAAATAATAGATGGTCGCTTGCAGATATGGAACTTCTCTTCTCGTGTTTATCTCGATACCAAGAGATTATAACAGTTTATTACGGTGGCCCATAGAGGACATGCCACATCTTTTTTATCGCGCGATAAAATCAAAATATCGCGCGATAAATGAAAAATTATCGCGTGATAACTGAAAATTATCGCGCGATAAATGGGAAACATGCTAGGTCACGTAATCGGCTGTCACGCACGTTGTTTCCGTGGACGACAATGGCTGCCACAATCGAGGAGGTATGTTTTGAGGTCAATAGAAACAAAATGGCGACAGCGAAGCGAAAAAAATTGTTGGCTGCTGAGTTTACTGTAATTAGCGAAACGAGACGGATTAGATAATCCACTCTCGTTCTCAGACACTGACAGCCATCTCTGAAAGTGTCTCGTAAGATTCCGCAAAATCAAGGTTTACTGTACTGATTCACAGAGCTATGTGTCGTAGAAGTATTGCAAAGTACTGCTAAATGATCTTTTTACGTAAATAAAATGAACTATGACCTCAAAACATACCTCCTCAACTGTGGCAACCATTGTCGTTCACGGAAACAACGTGCCTGACAGCCGATTACGTGACCTAACATGATTTCCATTTATTGCGCGATAAATGATAAATTATCGCGCGATAATTTTTCATTTATCGCGCAATAATTTATCAGTTATCGCGCGATAAAATAAATGTGGCATGTCCTTTATGGGCCACCGTAGTTTATATTCTCGCTCAGTGATCGCTTTTCATACAGCCCTGCAATCATCGACTGCTGACCACAAAAAAGGTTGTTAATGAATGTAAAGCCATCAAACTTGTTAATAAGTGCTCCCGCAAAAATTTCCCAGGGCTAGAATTATTTAACTGTGAAAAAGTTTTCTGTGTTGTAGTGGAATTGAAGTGAGGTAACTAGTTTTTCTTCGAGGTAATTTAGTGTTAACAACTGAGTTGAAAACGTAAATTAGCTACAGTAAAGGGTAAAAAAGCTGACTTTTCGAGCGTTTCTAGCGTTAGCCCTTCGTCAGATCGATTGACGAAGGGCTAACGCTCGAAACTTCATATATTATACGGTGGCAAATTTAATTTTCAACGTCAGTTGTTAACAAATAAATTACCTGAAAGATGTTTTTCCAACGCAGCGCCACAGTTTCTTTAGAAACTTACCCCTTTATAGTTTTTCTTCGATCTGAGCAGATATGCCTGGAAAACTTTGTTGGAGCCGATTAATGCTTAAGCAATAGAGAACCTTTTTTCCATGTTTACACACTCTCACCTAAACACGAGAGGAGGTTGGGAGAATTTGAGAAAGTTATGCGAACCCGATACGCAGTCAAGGGTTTGCATAACTTTCAAGAAAATTCCTAGCCTCGAGTGTTTAAATGAGAAAATGCAAACACGGGAGAAAGTTCCCTATATATTATAAGCAAAATTTTCCAATAACGTTACAGAGGAAGGTAAATGTTAAGAAAGATGTTTTTCCGTCTTGTCACGAGCGAGGGATAAAGAAAAATTCTGAGTTCCCCCATGAGGAAGATTCCTCATGGAGACCCAGAATTTTTCTTTATCCCACGCTCGTGACAAGGCGAAAAAACATCTTTCTTAATTTTTCATCGAGCTCAAAACTTATAATCTCTACTATTTCTATCAAAGGTAAATGTTGTTTGTTTAATATTTTAATATTAAATGATTAATATTTCCTCAACACATGCTCTGGACGATAGTGTTTCCTAATAGCCAATCAAATCGTGCATCTGACAAAAATTCGCGTTGTAAAAAGTCAAGTTGCTATGCTCGTAGTTTCGTCGGCTACACTCAAATTTGTCTACGTTTTCCTTATTTGGACAAATATTCTTCCATTAATTACTATTTAAATAAAACAAACTGAATCTTGCTATCAGTCTAAAGGTGATTCCTCAGTATTGCACTGGGCATCCTGTACTGCGCATAAAAATCACGTAATCAGGCAAGTAAGCGCACACATTCCGAGAACACGGTATTGCTTTTCAATAAATGGACCATGCAAACAGGCACAATGCTCTTTAGCTCTTGAACGAGCGCGGTGACCTCTATTTTTCATTGCATAATTTTTTTGTACAAATCTTCCCCTTTAACTTGGAGAAATTAAGAAAATTGTCGAAGGCAAAAAAAAAAAAAAAAAAGAAAACATAGCTAAAAACGTGCACAAAGCCCGTTACTTGATGATGAAAATCATTACCTTGAAAACAACGACGTGAGGAACGTTTTGAGTGATAATAATTACTAATATATATAAATAATTTCCACAAATTACATATCAAATTTTCCACACGCTCGAGACTTTGTACCTTTTAAGTTTTTTCTTTTAATTTTTTACTTCGAAAACCCTTGATTCCAGCTACCGAAAAATGTACCTTGAAATGACGCGCGTGAAAAATTGCTAGTAGAGGCATAAATGAGGTAAGTGTTGCCCGTCATTTCTCTCAAACAAGCAAGGTGACCTGCCTTTCTTATTGCATTTTTCGAAACAGCCATTGGTAGGAAACATTTAAAGGCAGACTAAAAAAATTGTTAGATGACTCTTTTTTTTTTTTTTTTCTGAGGAATTACCTTATTAGGTCAGAGTGAGAAAATCGTAACTGCGGTCAACATCGATTTTAACCAATCAGACTATTCTGTTTAATTGAGACATCATCAATATAATTACATTTGCAGAACAGTTATGCATCATCAAGAAAAAATTATTTTCTCTCCTGGTGGACAAAAACAATGCACATCAAGTCCACAAATATGATGTAAAAAATCAAATCTATCTTTCTTTATCCCCAATGTTTTGTCGAAGGACGTTTCCAAGCAAACTAAAGGTACTAAAAACTAACGTGATTTGTTACATGGCCAAACAAGAATAGCCATTCACTCAACATTATTTACAGCGAGTTCAGCCAGTACCATCTCTAAAAAATATATAAGGCATGGATTAAAAGAGACTAACCTTTACAAGTCAGACCATCCCCAATGTATTTAGGATTACAGGCGCAACTGTAGGAGCCCTGGGTATTACTGCAAGAGGCGTTCTTATCGCAGATGTTCATCTGTGAACACTCGTCAATGTCTGATGGGGATCAAGTGCACCACGTCACAACCCAGAGTTGGATGTTATGATGAAAAATGTTTTGGTGAATCAAGATATAATGAATACCTATCCAAAATACTGCAAATCTAATCTCAAAGGATGTGGGACAAAACAAAACAATCCACAATTTTTAATGAGGGATGAATTTTAGGATAAATGTTTGACTACTTCCGGCCTTATAATTTAAGCTAAAAAGACGTTTCAGATTACCTCCCGCTTTGAGTAGCTGGGATTGTATGTATAGAAAGAGCAGCAATGGAGGTTGCCTCTCTTCGGTCATAAAGGACTTTTCTGGACATTGAAGGAAAGTTATCAAAATCACCTGAGCAAGTTTGTCCATCTCCAGTGTATCCAGTGTGGCATGTACATACATGTGATCCAATTGTGTTGGTACAGTTAGCATTCACATGACAAGAAAGATTTCTTGCACATTCGTCAATATCTGAGAAATGACAGGCTTTCAATCACGATTCTTGGAGTATGATACATGTATAAACCTCCTTATTTTGAGCATTGAGTGCATTTCGTCCTCTTGCTTTCAATTGGGATCATTTTCTTTTTTTGGTCAAAAATATTAAGGCAAGGGTAACTACTTTATCAAAACAAACAAACAGGGAAGGTACGTACAAATTAAACAAACAGTTAAAAATAAAAACACAAGCAAACAAATAAAGTCATAACGAGGCAATTACAATCTAAAGGCCTTTACCTGTGCAGTTCCGTCCATCTCCGTTAAATCCAAATAAACAGGTGCACACAAAGGATCCATTTGTGTTTTGACAAGTAGCGTTCAGGTGACAATTGTGAGTATTTTTTTGGCATTCATCAATATCTAAAAAAATGGGAAAGAAAAGAAAAATTCTACAACGTTAGTGGTTACACGAGTGAGATATACATTCGTTTTTTAAACTTTTATGAGGTGAAAGAGCATTAAGTTATTTATCATTGTGACAAATTAATTATTAATTTAGACTAAACAAAAACTTCCACTGCAGCGGAATCTCTCTCTAGACACCGTTCCAAACTGTAGTCGGATATCAATCGTCAAAGATTAGCCTTGCTAGCCTTCCTTGGTAGACTTTTTTTTCGCGGATTGTGAAACTTCTAATTTTATTCTTTAAAAAATTCTATTTTTTTCTTAGTAAAGGCCTATTTTTGTCTTTTACATGAAAATATTTTTCTTTCGGTAAGGAAAAAGTCAACTGAGAATTTTGTGAAAAGAAAGTTACGCCCTTTCTCTGTTTCTGTAATGATTCAACGCATTTTTTCATCTTGACCCTTATCGCCGACGCGCTTTACGACTTTTTTTCGCGGATTGTGAAACCTATCATATCATTCTTTTAAAAAGTCACTTTTCATTCTCAGTAAAGGCCTATCGTGTTTATATGATAATCAAAATAGTACATGGTTGCTTGCGGTCATGTAACTTTTCTTCTCTTGTTCAACTCGATACCAAGAGATTATAACAGTTTATATTCTCATAAGATAGCGACTTGAACACTCGAGGAGGTGAACACGTGAGGACAAAATGACCAAGTTTCTTCGTGATAAATCGTCTAATTGTCTTGCAACGCAGCTGAACGGCGCGGCACTGTAGTCGAACGTGTCATGCAGGACTATTCTACATATTGTAGAGAAGAGATTAAATTTACCTGTGCAGTTTGCTCCGTTTCCAGTATATCCAGCATGACATTGACATACATGTGATCCAAGGGTGTTCATGCATGCAGCATTCACGTGACAAGAGTGATTTCCTTTACACTCGTCAATATCTGTAAAATCATAAACATAAAAAAATTGTAATTGGAGAAAAGTTGCCGAGCATAAGCTGAGAAGCCTTTGTCTTGTGGTTCTAGACGTGAGCACTTCACATTACCACATACCACATTTTTTCTCAGTTTCCCCAATTTCAAATCCGGTTTTCTGTCCTGTAAGCCTATCCATCAAGTCTCCTTTGCCAGTTGAGATTTTTTACCACTGACTGTTTATTGAATACAATGGTGTCATTATAGCCATTGTCTTCAGGCCTACATTCATCTCTTTTTTATACAAGGTATGCTGGTAAAACAAGTCTTGCAAAGATGATAGTGCTTTTCTTCCCAATGGGAATGGTTACAAAAGAAACGCATCAAGTACCTTTGCAGTCGCCTCCATTTTCAGTATATCCGGGGTGACAAGTACAAGCGTACGATCCTTTGGTGTTCGTGCAGGTAGCATTCACGTGACAAGAGTGATTTCCTTTACACTCGTCAATATCTGAGAAACCATTGATAAATTTTGCACTTTATCATTTTTATGACTCATAGTTATATAATTCCTCTTATCATTGCAAAATATGCAACAAAATATGTAGATCGTAGTAACTCTATCGTAGTAACTCTGTGCATAAACATACATGGATAACGCTGCTTAAAATTATGAAACGATTAACAAAAATTAGTTATATATGGAAATATCAAAACTACCTGAACATGAGCGTCCATCGCCGATGTATCCCACTTTACATGTGCATTTGTAAGAACCATGTGTGTTAGTACAGTTTGCATTCACGTCGCAGTCACTGATGTTAAATTTACATTCATCCATATCTAGAATGTAGAAAGAGAGGCGGTGACTAAGTTAGAGCAACTTGAGAGAGGCATCCTCACTAGAACTGATCCAAACCAAATATTACGATAATGATATCAATAATAGTATAATTTATAGTAATTTCATGATACTGATAACTCGCCACAAAATAAAATAACTGAAGCAAAGTTATAGGACCTACCTTCGTTAACCATATCACAGTAAATCAGTTTTGCTTTTCCTTTCCTAGTTGGATCCAGCCAGTACTTGCCGCTTATGGTGTATTTACCTTCACTCGCCTTTATTTCGTGACAAGACAGCGCCGGTAATTCAGGGATAGAACCTAAGGGAGCTGCAGTAAAGATATGTTTTACATTTACTTCCTATTCTTAGCTCTTCCAGGTGAGAAGGAACCAGGCTGAGGATGGAGAAGATTTAAAGAAATAGAAATCACATAGATAGAGAGACATTTGATTTCTTACCTCTGCCGTTCAATCGCCGGATGTAAAACCAAGCGGGTGCTGAAAGGAAATTCTCTGGTCTCGCCTCCTTGGTGCGGTTATTTAGTTCACATATTTGGTATTTTCGATTGTAGTTGTAGCTTTGGCACGTGATCTCTTGTCCACATTTGACATCGCAAAGGTGAGGAGCTGCTAGTGACCACCTTTTGAAGACATGTTTCTCGAGAGCCATTCCTTGTATGTTTACTTCTGTCCTACATTGATCATTAGCTGTGACAAACTCCATGGTAGAAGCGAAAAGGACGAATCTTAAATGGCAGAACAGCCACCACATACTTCTTTACTTGTGCTGAATCTGAAAATATTGAGAATAGGATCATAGAAAGAAAAAAGACGAGTTTCCCCTCAACAAAACTTGTTTGATACCAGATGAAGCCATATAGCAATAATACTACACGTACATTAAAACCTTGCCTGTAAATTTGTTCAGGCACTTTCTAGTTCATGATGTGAGTAAACAATTTGCACAAGGCTCGATAGGATGCCAATCGTCAAGGAAGATCAGCACAACTATTAACATTAAGCTTTAATTTTGAAGGCTCCTTCAGTTTCTGTGGAATGATAACTTTGATCTGCTTAAGGCATTTTGAAATGTCCTCTCGATAGGCCTGATCATTTTACGCCCCCATAGAAGAACGAATGTTCAAGCATTAAAATCTTCATTTCGAAATATTGGTTCCAAATATGAAGTGACAACGACTCAAACTCGACAAAAATTCAGATTAAATAACATAGTCTCATTATGAGCGAGAAAAAATACAACCTTTAACAAGTTGGCTAATTAACATTTATAAGCTGCTGATTATCCTCATTTTTTATGAAATAAAAATCCCGAAGATTGTTTAAACCCTTTATTCATCTACAAAGTTCAGTAACCAAAAGGGTAAGAAAGATTCAAATACAAGGCTTCCAAACTATATCTGATGAATAATCCTTTCTAAGTTGTTCTTAACACATTCAACATTTTAGACGGGGATCAGACTTTGGCGACCTTTTGGTAATTTTTTAGATAAACAGAGCAACATATTATTTACCAGAACTTTTGTGGTGCATAGAAGTAATCATGTAAAGGTTCAGTTAGTAAACCTCGAGTATTGATAATCTGCTTTCGTTGAAAAAGACCTCAAGATAATTTTCTTTTAAAATCGCACCATACCCTTATTTGGGAGTGAAGCCAACCTTTTTCCTTTGGTATGCAGAATTAAAGGAGCCGCGGCTAAATATCCTTTCCGTAAAGAATATAAATTTTCCAGGGAAAGTATTACTCAAATCATCCATCGGTGTTTTCGATATGATAAACTCTTACCTCTCAAGATGCAAAGCTCTTTGGTCCCTCACTGCTTTTGAGGTAAAAGTGCTTTCTTTTGTAACAATATGGTAGCTATGGTTACCATAGAAACACCTGGTTTCAGGCCAAAACGATGATTAACTTTAGATAAGAACTTCCTTTTTCCTTCTACAATGTCACTGAACCATGGCAAAGATCAAATATTTGTTTAGGAAAAACTACGCAAATGTCATCACGATCTCAAATTTTGCAATGAGCGTAATTTTCAACAGGTTTCTTTGACAAATTATTATTATGAAACATCAAATTCGGTCTAAAGTAGCTTTTAAACGTTGTTTAAGAAGATTTCCTTCAAGTTCTCAAATAATCCAGTGTGTATCTAAGGAAACTCCACCGTGTGCTAATAAAGGATCGCTAACGAAAAACTAATAAGAGAAGAAGAATTCAAGAAAATGTTCCAGTAGAGAATTGTGAAATTGTTTCGAAGACAGCTTTCAAGACATGGGGTTTGCCTCAGCTAAGAGGCGTGCATTTTTCAAGGAACTCATTTAGCGTCGCTCTAAAGGCCCTGTTTACTATTCGAGTTGTTATCAGATAGTTGCCTTTTAACTGTCGACTGGCCTTATTCGCGTTTTCAACGACATAGAGAATACTTTATTTAGGCAGGGGATAAATTACATCGTGCTATTTTTGCAATTGCGTATAGACCAAACTGTTCGAATAAAGTTCAAGTGGACTTATTTTCCAACGATTACGATTCATCTTTCGTTAAATGTGTTTCATTGGCGCCTTGAAACGAAGTAAGTACGTGCATATGTAGAATATGGAATTAACAATCAAGGAAATGCAGATGTTAGAAATACAGAATATTGTGGTGAAACTTGCAAGATTTACTTTGCGAAGTATCGTGTGTGTTATAGTCTTCATCTTGAACCTTGCATCTTACGTTTAAAAGGAGCCTGGTTTTTAATCAAGCATTCATGAAATAATCAGTTCGGGAAGTTAAACACTGACTGCCATAGCAATACTACTTCCGCTAAAGGAAAACCACTCATTGATAACTCCTCAAAGCCACGCAAAAAATAGCATTACATTCGTCGTTTTATAATCGATAACAGAATCCTTGGAATCTTTTAGCCATCACGGAAACATTACAGCATTGAGGTTCTTAAAATCATGTAAGAACATTAAGCAGCAGGCTTGTAGAACATCAAGGCGGCAAAACATTCACTAAATTTTATTCGTGCCTTGAATTATGCATTGCCTCCATTTCATTTTCTACGGTCTTCTCAAGAACAGGAATTTATGAAGAAACGGTTTCTATGGTTTTTTCTCCTTATAACTTTACTTTTACTGTGCTGTCTTGTAACTTAACCAGCCCACTGAGGAGAATACGGGAACATGGAGAAAAATTGATACTACCTTCATTTGCGGATTTTTGCCTATCTGACTCACTCACTCATGCCCATTATGCCGTGTGGCACTTAGGGCGGCTTTGCCTATCTGAGAACATAGGTATTTAGGACAATTTTCCATGTCTCAATTCCGTGCTCAGAGATTTCCTCATTATTTCAGCTGAGACATCTATTTCGATAAAGAAGGTTAACACATAAAATGCTTAAGGAAAAGACAAGTTTAACTAATGCTTTTAATTGTTTTGTTTTTTTTTTATGCCGCTGTTACCGCTGTTACCGCTGTTATATCTTAAATTTCTAATTTTTTGTATTATAGGGCCCTAGATAATTAACTCTAGCCCCGACTCCCTCCCAAAAACGTTAAAAACAACAATGAAACGAGAACAAAATTTGGTTGCATCGATGAACACTTGTCTTTTGTGAAGACACAAGGTTTCTAGAAAGCATTTTCGTGTGTTTTGTTTCTCCTGAACTATATTATTTTAAGGAAGACAGAGCAAAAGCCGTTAATAAAAGCTATCCGCAGATTTTTTTTCATGATCGCTAAGTCATGAAAAAGATATTCATTTTCCTCTATAAACCTTTTTTCGCTTTCTTCATTATACAGGTCCTTGAAAATTCAAAGTTTCATATTCGAGTTTACATGATCGTCTTTGGTTATTTAGACCGATGATCATAGAAAGAGGAAATTTATGCTAATTTTCATTAAGACAAGCCATCGTTGTCGGTTTTTGACTTAGTCTTTGCTAGTTGCTGTTACCTTAACTCTTTTTGTATCAGCAAGGAGGAGAAATATAAATAAGGTTGCTCTCATCCGTGAATCGAAGGATAAAACTTTCTTCGCCGTCTGCGACTCACCTTTTCTATAATTCAATAATGCATTCTAGGCTACGATCATGAAAAATTAAACAAATTCCGTGCCTGCTTCGAGGTAACGGTTTTCTGTTTCTACCCCGCATGCATGGCATAAGTTTAAGTTGATCACCAGCCCTCATCAGTGGATTAAACTTCCAAAATCGACCTGTTTTTTGTGAACGCAACCGTTTTATGAAAATAAATTAAAGAAAAAAGCTTGCAGCTGTCAGTTCTATGTGGAAATTAAAGCAAATGACGCAAATGGATGTTATCCGCTTCGCTCGATGAAGAGAATTGGGTCTCTTAAGAATAATTATTTATCTTTACATGTTAACATACGTATCAGACACCGAAATCAGTCCTTAGAACAATATTATAAAAATTTAGCGTGTGGATATCTCCCTCCACCAGGTGTTCTTAAACTACTCAAAACTCCCTTTATTCTCTTGGAATCTGACGACCGTCTTTTTGCATATCGTGTCTATAACAGACGCATCCTCTCTTGGTATAAACATATCTAAGAGGGCTATGACAACCTGTTTTCCTTGTTTTTCAAAATTGTCTGTGGTCAAAAATTGCGTCTGTGAATAGTGTTCCTTTTTGGATTCTTTACCTTCCAATTCTTGAGAGGGATTATGAAATAAAGTGGGGCATTCCTAATCTCAGCCACGTTGCGTTAAAATAATGATAAGGTTAACTAATATCAGAAGAAAACTTCGAGTCATTACATTCCGATATTATTTATCAATTCAATGATGCACAACGGTCGTGGTGGTGGTCGTTTATCAGAAATAAGTTAAATTCCTTTTCCCCGACAAGTTCAAGCTTGATCGATGATTGTGCGAGATTCTCCAAGTTTTCTTTACTTTGTTTCCTGACCCTGAGTTTAGTTATGAACATATTTACTTTTATATCTAAGTAAGAAAGTGGTTTGAGTTTCACGATCAAGCTTTAGGTAATTTCTTACGTTAGTGATGGTTGATTTACATGTCCTCACATGTTCTCGAGGTTCCAAGGTCTTTAACACACGGTAACACACTGACAGTGAGGCCTTCTTTGGTATATGCATTCTTCTAATTGCGGATAAGCTTCAAGGTAAACAAGGATGTTTATGGGGATAATGGGGAATTTAATAATTTATTAGGTCTAATTACCACTATTCCTACTCTAACCATTATTGTCTTCCAGATGTACCCTGGCGTTTAATCATAAAGCACAATAGATGGGCGCGCGTAGATAATTTCTCTTCTCGTTCACTGCACTCACTCGTGAGTGTTGAACACGAGACAGGAAATTCCATATCTACAGGGAACCATCTATTTTTTTGTTTATTATATAAACACCATATGCATTTACTGACAAAAATAAATTCAACAAACAACCTTGGATTGAGAAAAGTAAACGCACTTTGCACCAAATCATCCATCTTAAAAAAGAAAACAAAAAAAAAAAGGAGTTTATCAAGGATTATTTTCTAAATAATTTGCTAAAACTGTTTTTTCATAAGGGCTTTTATGAACGAACAAACTACTTCGATCACTTCCCTCTGAGTAGCATCTACATCTGGATATGTAAATCCTTATAACGTCCATTTAAAAACTGCAGGTACTTTACGCGAATGACAAAGGATTCGCGGAAGGAATGTAAATTTTTTTTCAAACAAATGTTAAGGGAAGCAAACTGATCATTAAAGTTCATAGAATGCGAACATTTACAGGACTACTACGACTT